AAAATTATTATTTATATTAAAACATCATTTGAATCTAATTTAATAATTTTTATTCTATTTTCTTAATCAATATTTTAATTTGTTATAAATCTTTGTAGCCTTATAGTCAATTAGATTTTTTTAAAATACTACTATATATAAATATATATATAAATTTGATGAGTAGTATTTCGAGCCAAAATGAGTCGAACACAAACAAACACATCCTAGTTCGTGTTCGGCTCGCTAACTTATTGAACGAAATTAACGAGCCGAACACGAGTTGTTCGCGGACAACAAGGGATTTTGTCGCGAACAACGAGCCATTTTGACAGCCCTAAAATAAACTACTTAGCGATGCTGGTTTTGAGCAGGGCGAGAGTAACAAGTCTCATAAAATAGATTTGCATGAGTTTCTTCTTAAGAATATTAGAGAACACATTGAGGATTAATATCAAGTACTATACACGAAAGAACATCTTTTGTTTCTAAACCACCAATAAGTGTTTTCCAGACTATGCCCAATAGTTAAATAAATGACACTTGAACCACAGAAAATTTCTTCATCTAAGTTTTGGGTGGTCTATATAAATTTATGAGAATAGTAGTTTTTACCCTGTTGATAACATTCAAGCTGAGAATCATCAATAGGGATTTTTCTGAATCAGCTGAGAACAACTTTCAAAATTAAAGAGAGAGAGAGAGAGAGAGAGAGAGAGAGATGATTCAATAAAATGCTAAAATAGTAATGATCATTCACTCCATACTTATACAAGTAAATGAGTGTCTTAAGGGATGCTTCATCAATGAATTTACACAAGACAAGTCAGTCTCTCGTTGTACCCTAAATTTATAAATGATTAACTTCACTATTATGCAGAGTTTATCAACCAATCTTGAAATAGTTGCCCCTCTGAACATCTCTCATCAACTAGTCTTGGGTATAATAAATCACTCAATAGGGTATTATCAATGATTATTTCATCTACCAGCATAGATTCTATTCAGTTATGTCATGAGATACTCTATTAATAACTTCATGTGAAGGCAACAACAATAATAGGCAATTCACCCCTTTTTTTTATTGTTTGCAAGATTTACAAACACACCACTTTATTCCTATGTATTTACATATCTAACACCTAAATCTGAATTTTTAATATATGCCACCTTATGCATCAAAAGAGCTAATCACTTCTAAAAGTTAAAATAGTGGTATTTCTTATGTGATAATATGATTTGGCTGATATAAATGTATATAGTAAAGTTTCGGTGTTAGATATGTAAATGCATAGGAATTGGGAGGTATGTATGCAAATGCCTTTTTTTTTTTTTAACTAAATTCAATATTTTCTCTCTATTTTAGAAAAGTTTGAAGTTGCAGTTCCAGATGTAACAGAAGCAAACTGGAGATCACTAGTATTGGAATGTGACATAACTGCAATTGTTGAATTTTGGGCCTCATGGTGTGAACCATGCCGCGCGATCCATCCTGTAATCTTCAATTTATCATTGAAATATGAAGGAAAGATGAGATGTTTCAAGATCAACACTGATGAGAACCCAGACATAGCAACTCAATATGGAATCAGAAGCATCCCAACTGTTCTGATTTTTAAGAACGGAGTTATGGTAGAAAAAGTAATAGGGGCTGTTCCAGAAACGACCTTGGTCACATTTATTCAGGCATATTTGGATACATAATTTAAATTTTATGTTATCTTTTACCAGTAACTTTTCTAAAATTGCATAATTGTAGATGCAATTGTGACTAGAGATCTATTAAGAACTTCTTCATGCTTGTCCGTGTCCATATTAATGGAGGATAAAGTTGGCCTAAGTTTCTTCAATGCTGCAGAGGTTATGGAGGTTGCCTGAGATGTTTTGGGAGTTCATTACGACAAATTCTGGAATCTTTTCTGTAAGCTTTTTGTCATTCCAGAATTTGAAGATTTATTTTGGTACTGCTGCTTAGCTTTAGTCTATGCAAGATATTATTGATTTTCTGAATATATAAATTTGATTCAAATTTGTTGTGCCATGCAAATTTTAAGTTGTTTCCATCTTTTTTTTTTTTTTGCAAATATAAGTTATTTAGTTACTTTCAGAGAAAAATGTTCACTCATTCAAGTCTGTATTCTTTGGCATTAAAATTTAGCAGCATGGCCGTTTCCTTCACCCTTAGGAAAACCAGAAGCAGTGTGGTTTGCAGATTTAAAATTATTTAGGTGCCCATCGTATAAATCAATTGATGGTTGATTACAAGCACATTAGAAATATCCTTGATGAATGATTTTTGTCTCTTAAGATGAGAGATTAGTGTTTTGATTTAAATTGTTAAGTGTAAGAGGAAAAAAGTAATACAAGAGAGTTTTTTATTTCTAGTTTTTTTTTTTAATATTCCTAAGGACTTTTAATTCATCATAAAAATATTAACACTATCAAAAATTAGCTTTATTGTCTTAAAAAAAAAAAGATTGTCTGTAGTGCAGCTTTGAGAGCTTTAGTTCAGTGGTTATAGCTTGGTTAATTAATTTTCTTGCTCGAATTAAGCCAAATGAGTTGAACTATGAGCTAAAATTTTAGTTGTGTGTGTGTGTGTAGTATCCCATATTGTTTGAGAGAAAATAGGTGAAGATTATGAACTCGATCATACAAGGATGTGGAGGAAGATCCTAGAGGAATAGAACTTTTTTTTCTTTATCTTCCTAGGGGGTAAAAGGGCACATCTATTTATATGAATTATAGATGATCCTCCTCTTCCTTGACCGCACAAAAAGGGAAAAGAAAAGAAAATCACATACCGTATTACACGTAGTTTGTACACAATGTCCCAATTAGAGGATGGTGATGTGGATGTTAGACTGGCGCATAAGTGGACATGCATGCATGTTTGTTCTTTAATGATGATCTTCACTTCGACAGTTGGTTGTTGACAAATCTTTTCGACAAGTCATTTTGACAGACCATCTCGATAGGTCAGTTTGACAGATAGTGTCAGTGAGTCTGTTGAGTATGAAAAATGTATGGGCCAAGCCTGTGATGAAAACTGAATGATGTGATTTTTCAAATATCCTTTAGTTATGTTCGGGTCATTAAGATCCATAACTCTATCGTTGACCCACGACAACCAATTATTCATATACAATATATATGCTTACTTGTATTATAAATTATAGCATTAAAAAATAGCCACTTCAAACTTCTGTTGTTATTATGAATGTTTTGAAAGATTATGTTGGATCATAGGTAGAAATAGTTTCAAAATGTTGATTATTTTGGAAATTAAATTGGGCTTTTCCATGTCAGTCGCACTTGGTGCCTTGGTGGCCTTCTTCTTCTAGTGCCAGAACAACTTGTCGTTTCGTATTAAGAACTGTTTGGTTGAAGTTTGAATATAGGAAGATTTACATACACACCACTCAATTCCTATGTATTTATGTCTTACACCTAAACTTCAAATTTTAAGTTCCAATTTTAGAGTTTGATTGAAGTTAATTTCATTTAATTTTCATTTTACGTGTTTTATTTTAAGTTCATTTTAGATCTTTGAGGAGAATGACGTGTTGACCAAGCGTGAGGTCAACAATGTTTCACTATTTGAAGTAAATTTTTTGAAGTCGTCAGCTCGTCTAAAGAACCTGCAGTCATCTATTGATCTATTTTTGGGACACCTATAAAATTGTCCCTCATAGCTCGCTTCTTGTCATAATGTAAATTCACAACATTGTAATTCATAGTTGTAGTGTACGAAACTAGAGGCAATAGAAGTCCTTGAACTCATATTTCATGATAAACTAGAGTTTAATGCATGCAATGAGCTTCCATTAATGTTATAATGACAAAGGTACAAGAATAAAATAAATAATACAATGATAAAGTTTTAAGAATGGAGGCCTTAAGAGTTAATATAAATAAATGAATACTCTGCTAGTATAAAATGGTAGGTGACTTTGAAATAAGGGGATATTGGATTTCTTTGAGAAATTATTACCGAACTTTTATATTGGAAATATATTTACATAAAGGCCCTCTAGAAGAACCCCTTAGATCATATGAATCGGAAAGGAGTCTTGATTGCCTTGATACCAAACTTGTATATGTCAGAAAACATAATAACATAAAAGCCATCCAAAATATCCCATAAAGTTATATCTCATCAAAGACCTCCAAATAAATTACATGTAAAAAAACTTATGTATAGAACACTCGTAATTGCTTAGGAGGCCATCCAAGCGGGATCAAATACAATATGCTAATGGCAATGAATAAAATAAATACAATCCTGACAGGATCCATAGATATAACATTTAAAAAGAGTCAACATAAAAATAAATTGATAATATGTCTTCATATGATGCATTCAATAATCACTCATTAACTAATGTTTTACAATCTCTTCTCGCAACTCAATCATATCTCCAACAACTTCCTCATCCTGTGTGTATTGAGCCACCTATATCACAATCATTTTGTGAAATCGATTACCCCAAGCAGTACTCATATGGTCTAGGAGGAACATGTAATTAAAATTAAATATTAAGCAAATATTTTTAATTTTAAATCAATTAAATCCTCCTCTGTTCGCTGAGCGTAGAGATTTTTTATTTTATTTTTGTGAATTTTCTACACCAAGATATAAATTTTTGAAGTTAGATTTTATTTTTTGAAGTTAAATAAATAAATAAATAACCTAATTTCCTACTTAACACGCGACGCCATCTCATCCTCAATGACTCAAAAGTCTCCACGCATCGCCCACTGTTGGATGCACTTTCCATGTGTGTGCCACCTTAACCTGCGGTTGAGAGTGCTGGGTCGAACCGCTTTATTATCCCACTTGATCCTGGCCGCTCGTTCCGAACACACGCGATCTGAAGGTGCTCGTTCATCGTCCCCAAAAAAGCCCTATTCACGAACTGCCCACCTTCTAAGCCTAAGGTCTAGGTTGATTCTCAACTAAATTTAGGACGGCTTGTTCCTAAACCTTTATCTAAGTTTTATGAATAAATCCATATGGTTAAGTGCACTTGATTCGTTCATTTGTTTAACAAAGGTTTAAACTGAGGCAAAAAATGGAGTTTACGAGTTATACCTTTGCCCAAGAGGTGAGACCTTTATTGTGTTTGCTTGAAAGCTTCGTCTTAGTCCCAAGAACGTCCTTCAATTGCTAGTCTTCTCTTAGACAAGGTTTAAGTAGGATTTCCCTCAGAAAGTTGCTCAGGTTTTGACTTGAGCTATGTTAGAGGGCTTGGGATGGAGAAATTTCAATTGAGAAAGTAGTTTTCCTGCAAGTTAAAGCTTTTGAGAGGGTTATTTTGAAGTTTTGGTTGAGCTAATTTCAAGGCCAAGATTGTCTTGGTTTTCAATGGAAAAATCAAAGCTTAATTGTCTGTTTTAAAGCTTGAGGAGGTTGGGGATCTTTGTCGTCTGAGTGTAGGACTGTTTTGAAGTCAAATGGTCAAAATTTACCAGGATTGATCTGTCTCTCTCTTCTTGACTGAGAAGAGAGGCTTGTTTTATAGGCTAAGTCAAGGTGGTCTCTTTGTCATGCTGAGGTAAGGTTTTGGTTTTGATTTTGGTTTTGAGGCAGAAGGAGTGAGTCAACAGAGAGGTTTGTTGGCCTTCCTTTCATGACCAATTTCAATTCAATAATTTCCTTTTTTATGCTCCCGTGATGAGTTCCAAATTTCAAATTTAAGCCCTTCATTCCTCCTTCAGTTTCACCATTAGTTGTCTTTTAATTCACTTAAATGGTCCTTCCTTTTATGTACTCTTCGTGGCTTGCACGAGTGTGAGGAGGAGCTTTTAGATTTTGAGTAGTTTAGGTGGTGTTATTCGGGTTGTATTTTGGTGTTAATGAGGATGCCTCTGCAAAGCCGCGAGGGTAATGTTATTGGAGGTGGTATTTAGGTGTTATCCTGGTTTTGCGGAATCAGTGGCATTGGTCGTGGTATTGAGGGTGTACCGAGGTAGTATTATGCGTCGAATCACAGAGAACCCGAAAACCAACTATGGGTATTAGGAATCATTAGGGGTTGTCAAGAGGGAAATTGAATGTCAATTTAGCAAAATTGGATTGAAGCTTGAAATTTGATAAAATTTGATTGGATTTGGTGGTTTGCATTAATCTTGGTAGATTTGAAGTGGATTTAAGATGGATTTGGATTTGAGCTTGACAATTTTGAATTTTGAGCTTGAAATTGGATTGGATTGAGTTTAAAGTTAAATTTTGGCAGAGTTTGACGAGGGATTGAATTTGGGTTTGGGTAATTTTAGATTTTTTGCTTGAAATTTGGTAGAATTGTATTGGATTTTGGATTATGGTGGGTTTGAAATGTGAATTTGAATTTGGGGTCCATGGGACTTGGCCTTGGAGTTGGGTTTGAAGTTTAGACTTGATATTGATAATTTTGAGAAATTTGGGTAGGTTTGAGGCAATTTTTGTGAAAGGGAGTGAAGTGTAAGTGAAGTGAGTGGGAGGTGCCCATGCCACTTAAGGTCAAAAAGTGCGCCCCTAAGGCCTCACGTTCTTATGGGAACTACTTTTGAGTCTCACCATATTAGTCTCAACCACCCAAGTGTTGGAGGTAGAAGACCACCCATGTAAGACTCCACAAGGGAGCCAGGAAGTGACTTGAATTTCTAAAAGGGTGGGTCCCATCACTAGGCTTCTATGATAGTCAAAAGGAAAGTCATATGACTAGATCCTAAGTCAAAAGGAAAGTCATATCACCAAAAATGAGATCAACATAGCTAATCACCATATTCTCTTCGAGTCATTATCACCTCGACATACCCATCTTTTGAGTCAATGTCTCTACGGTACACTCGATCCTTCAAGCCAATGCCTCCTCAATATGCTCACTTTGATTAGTTTCTCAAGTGGATGTGAGTTCCTTAGTGTTCTTGCTCGAGCTAGTCACCTTATTCCCTTCGGGTCACTGCTGCTTCAACACACCCATCCCTTAAGCCGATGTCCTTTTGAGCAAATGCCTCCATGGTATGCTCACCCCCTTGAGCCAATGC